GGATTCTCATATTTTAAGTCCGCACTGTGGCGTTCTTGTTGAGTTATCTGCCCAGACCATTCCACGGACAGATAGAGGGTTCGAAACCATACATCCAGAGATAAGAGCCGAGGGGTAGTAGACCCAAGCCCCTCAGTCGCCAATCCCATCCCCCCCCCCCCACACACACACTTTTTAGCTTTGAGTAATAGATGGTAAAATGGTGCTAATTCCGATCCAAACCTTCCTCTGTCCTGCCATTTCCTGAAGCCATCCAGTCTTAATTTCCTAACGCAAGTTTCCTAATTTCGATTTCTGAGCCCATACCTAAATATTATGATGCATGCAGCATGAGTTCTGAACCTTTTTTAATTGATCCCCCCCCCCCTTTTCTCGATTTTAAAACATTTCCCGCATACCTCAACGTGGATCAAAATTTATAATTTTTAAAAAAATTAAAATAATGCAGTTTCTGTAGTTTTTCTTATTTAATAACTTGCTAGGAAGATACACAAAAAATCTAACAGTACCAGTGCATATAATGTACCAACAAAATTTACCACATATATTAAACGCACTATACTATATAGTAAAACAAAATAATGCGTTCAAAAAGAAATTTGAAGCAAAATTTTAAACGTAAAAACTTTTTTTTTTAAATTCGACCAAATTTCCGTTCGATCAAATTACCGTCGATAATTTTACCGTCGACGAAATTTCCTTCGATCAAATTTCGGGATAGGATTATCTCCTGCTACTAGACTAATAAAAATGCATTTTTAAATTAATATATATATTTTTTTTTTTAATTTCTGATTCTACCCGCACCCTCTGGCACTGACTCCCTGTGGTCCTGGTGTGGGTCGTCGTTGGCACCAGTGGTGAAGATCTTCTGGCATAGGCATAGGCCTACATCATCATACTCAAAAGTATCAACTACATTTACAGCACATGTAGCAGTCTAAAAAGAAATAACATGATTTTGAAAATAGGAATTTGAACAAGATCATTAAGGTTGGAACAAATGCATCAAATTCAAGCTAATTAATTTAAGAAATATGATTGATTTTTTTAAAATATTATCAAATGGGTTATTAAGTATGGAATTAAGAGCACGGCGTAGCGGAGCTCGATACCACATCGTGTGTGTTCCTAGCCGCTAGCGTAACCTAGATCAATATGGCCGTGTGACCTACTTGTCGTAGCACAGTGTTTACTGTCTGTGTGTTCTCCCAGCTGACGGTTCATGGCTATGACGATTCCTTATTAGGTAAGCGGTAAACCTTGTAATACGTCAAGCTTAAGGTTGCCATGTTTTAAAATGATCACTTGTCATTAGGCTATATCAACCGTCCGTGAAATGTCGAAAATGTGTGTGTGTATTGTCATATAATATATATAATATATGTGTTTGTGTATGTGTGTGTATGTGTTACACGTGTGTGTGTGTTTTTTTTTTGTTTTTTTTTTGGTGTGGGTGGTTGTTGGATAACCCATATTTTTTTTTAAAAATCATTATCCTCCTTTGATGGTGATTAATTGAAAATATGTGTGTACTGTTCATGTTTTTGTGCTGTTGCTTGTTGACTTGTTGTTGTGTTGTTGCTTGTTGACATGTTGTTGTGTTGTTGCTTGTTGACTTGTTGTTGTGTTGTTCATGGTGTCGTTCATGTTGTTGTTCAAAATTTGTTGTGCTGATAAGTTATTTTTGAAAGTTTGTCCATTTTTCTAAATAAAAAGAAGTTAATAAGTTAAGTTAGGCTTTTGAAAGGA